AAGATATTATTTTTCTTCTTTAATGCTTTTTGGGCACGAAACCTTACAATCTGCCACTTGTCCTTTGAAGGAACTTGTAAGTACATTCATGTACTTTTATATATTTCATCGTAGTTCGATGCACTTCTATTGTGTACTTCTTGGTACTTCTGTACTTCTGAAGTACAGAAGTACGCTTGTTCCCCTTTGAGTTTTTCACATATATATTTATTTTTTTAATAAAACTTGTAAAACAAAGCATAGTGTTTGTTTTAATATTTTTTTAATTTCGAGAAGATGAGTATCACAAAATAGATTCAAAGCATCATACGACGCGTTTCGACTATTGCTTAGATAGTGGATGAGAGGTAAGGATGAGGGGTGAGTTTAATTATTATTTTGAAATCGAAAGAGAAAGCACACCTATGAATCTTTAAAAGATTATTCTCTATCATCTCACTTGTCCACAGAAATTTTCTGTGCATTCAAATTAGTTTGAACATCCACAGTAGATATGTTCTATCTAACACGAAAGATTAGACAGAAAGGATCACACAACTAGGACAGGAATCGAACCAAAACAATAGCAAAGCAGAAATATTTTGTTTAATTAGACATCTTTCTCGTAAATCATGTTTTCTAACATTCAGATATGCCCCATTCTCAATGTTCACAATCACAGTGTACATAACCATTGCCCTTCCTAGTCATCAGAGAAGTTCGAGTAGGAGAATACTCTGACGTTGCCCATCCGACACTTCGAGGAAGTGAAGGGTTGGATTTTGTCCGACAAAAATAAAAGAAACGTCATACTTACTAATGTGCATTCATCTTCTCTTATAATAGCAATGTTCCATATATTATATGAATATAGAAAATGAGAAAGTGTTTATCGGGATATACATCTGTCTTTTATTTAGAAAGAACAACGAAACGCATAAGAGTAACAAGAACAGCAACAACAATAACAAATGTTTTACATTAAGTAAAAGAAAGACAGTCTAACTGTTTATTTACGCTTCCCAATCGTAAGATTCGTATGGGTCGTAGGAGAATAGTGAATAAGACACTGTCTCTGTATCATCATCATATCCTTCATCGTCATAATCATTATCACCATCGTCATCTTCGTCATCATCATCATCATTATTAGCATGTCTACAGATAATCGAGACAATATATGAAGATAATCCGAACGGAATAGTTTAAAACCTATAAAACTCACTCTGCATTGTCTAATTCAATATAGGTCTCTTCAAGCGCGAGGTTTTTGTAATCAGGATCTCATCATCGTCATCATTCTTCAGAATGTGATCAGCATAGGACTTGTTTTCACATCCTGCACAACCGCATAGTTCATAGCCGAGTGGTACGTTTTTCCCATCACTTGGTAGAAACAACAGACGAGTTATGGGAACCACTCGTCGAGAAAAGGGTAAGACAAAATAAAGCGAAAATTCAAACGAAGATGATAAAAGTCAATTGTCTTCAATTAACTCTTGTTGCTTTTTAGAAAATGAAACTTTACTGGAAAGTATTGCATTATAAGGTACTCCAAATGAGACCCACCCTCTCATACTTGTATCACCTACATCTTCAGAAGAGCTCATCCGTTTGAGCTGAAATTTTCAGCTTATTCCTAACTCACATGTACCTACCTACTGTAAAAATATCAGTCAAACGGCTGACATCGATTGAGGGCGCTCTTATATTGAAGCTGGTCAATGCTTACGTGCAATGCCTTCTAGACAATAAGAAATCAGCAAAGATTTTCTCCACTATGGTAAGGGCAAAACATATTGTTGTTTGGTTCAATCCAGGTATTGTCAGACGTCTTCTTTCATATGGCTCGGTCAATACCATCTATAAACAGTTGACTACGAGTTGTCCGAGTCGAGCAATCTGATTTTCTAGTTACCATCTCGAGTTCTTTGGCGTTGATTGATTCGCGCCAGTGAACTCTATGCGATGGATTACACTTAGAAAAATGCTTCAGATATTGTTAATGTTATTTGAAAATTGAACATCAGGTGGACATTTGTGTGGGAATCATAGTTTTGGTAACATTAATGTACTTCATTTTTATACAAAAAATTATAAATATCAATCAGAATAAAAATGAAATTCCAAGGAAAAAAATTGATTTAAATGAAAGTGATTACAATAAAATATTTACTTAATTTCATGACAGATTAATGATACTGATGAAATGCAGATAAAGAATGGATATAAAATTATTGTATTAAAGGGAAATGAAAACAAATTTACGGTTTATTTTAGAGATATTATAAAGTTTGAAACTCGAAATCATTTATTAAATGAACAAAATTTAATCGAAATATTGAAGAATCGAAAGTTTAATGAAGAAGTAATGTTAAAAAGAAAATGACCAGTATATTTATCAAGAAATTGAATCAAACAACGGATTTGCAAAATATTCAACGAAACAAATTGAATCTTTTGTCAAGTTAAAAGAATTAGTCGATGCAAAATTAAATTTATTAAAAACGATTTAAAATCAATACTTTACCAATGAAGTACAGTTTATGTTTGATTCTGAAATACCCAGTATATGGTCGGATAGACTGTATTTTATATTTAATAATATAGATATTGTTACAAAACCAAAGATAAGTTCAAGAATGAATTAAATCTTTCAACGTCTATCGAGATTGAAAGATTTGATTTAACAGATTCAACTGTCTTTACAATGTTAAATACTATCATGAAAAACTTGTCCAAAGAGAACAAAGAAGATCTATTAATCATTTTCTACAAATGCTTGTCGATATTTGGTTATTTATTAATTAAAATAGCAAAAAAGGAATTTCATACGTCAATGAACGTCCAAATTCAAGAAATCTCTCAAAATTTATTTCAAAAATTCGAGCAGAAAGAGGATCTGAAACATGATATTTTATATGAAATTATATTAAAGAACAATCAGACTTTGAAAGCAACTTATTTAAATGAAATCTTGAGGAGATATGAGGAAGGAAAGAACAAATTGCAAAGTTCATCGACTCATCATCAGTTGATTCAAATCGTAAAGAAAAATTAAAAGAAACAATTCAATTACGTTTCAAAGATTTGTTTGATAATCGTTATTTGATGTTATGTGATTACATCGATAAAATATATTCTGAGTCATCGAAAATATTAAATATTTCAATTAAATATGAAATATATTCTAAACTGACTGATATGATAAATAATTTTTACATGAACACAAACAGTCAATTAAATTCAAGTTTGGAAAATTTGATAGAAATATCCGTTTTATTCTGAATCATTTACAAAAGCAGTGTTTGTTATTAATAAGTGGACTCGATAATATAGAAGATGCGTTAAATAAAAATGAGATAAGTAAAATTTTGGATAAACTAATAACAAGCAATACAACTTTGGAGAAATGTTCGATAAGAGTTTTATCAAGTAGTGCTTTAAATAAAGCCAATGAGTTTAAAAATGAAATAAGTATAGGTAAAATTAGTGGAAATGAAATGAAAATAATATATCGACGTTTACATGACAATAAAATGGATTATTTTACTTTAAAAAAAGATGATTATGAAGATATATTTGAATGATTGAATAAATTGAATGAAGTGGATTTAATTGAAGATAAAATTAAATTAGAAGGTTATGAACAACTTTATTCACTTATTGAAACAGAAAATGGTTCAATTTATAAAAATAATGTTTTATTTGATAATAATTGAACTATTCACTCAATTCGATTTATTAATATATGAAAAGTACCAATATTTAGCATCGAATGTTGAAACAGATTCTGCAAACTTGGTGTTAAATGTTAAACGTAAAAACCGTATATTAAATATAACTTTTAAATATTTATCAAATATTTTAAAAGAAACAAATATTGAATCTATTGAATTCGAAAGAAATGAATTGATTAATACAATGTTAGCAATAAAAAATACTTTTGAAACAAATAAATTACAATTACAGGATAAAATCCATAATATATGGGAAAGTGAAGTTAAAGATAATAATACTATACTTGAAATAATCGATTATATTATCAGATATTCCAAAGAAAAAGTTAAGAAATATAATCTACAAACAAGTTTAAATTGTTTGGTAAAAGAATTTATCAAAAATATCAATTCCATCAAAATGTTTAAGCTTTCAGTTGATACTCTATATTTTTTCGATGGTTATGAAAATTTTATCAAACTAACTAACATAATACAATTAAAAGTGATCGATTCAAACTCAATGAAATTGAAAATAAATAAACTAACTGATGTATTTTGTTTATTAACTGGTTTTGATGATTTTAATAGTGCATTAAAATTATTAGATAGTTTTGAAGTTGATAATTGGCTTTTATATTTAAATATAAACAAAATTGAATATGATTTAAACATGTTATTTCATCAATATTTAGATGAATTCAATTTGAATGATATGAAAACCGAAAATTTGAATAATTTGGATGAATTTATTGAATCAAAACTTAATGAAACGGAAATTAAATATGATAATTCATTGAAGAAAATTTCAAATACAATAAAAGTAATTGAATTAAATGGAAATACGAAGTCGAATGAAAAAGAAATGGTTTTTGATTTCTTAAAAATCAAGATTATCTTTTGAATTAAAAAAAGAAGCAAATTATTTAATTAGTTTAAACGATTTAGAAACAATATTCAACAAATATCTGGCAGAACCAATTATTTTGGGTAAAGTGATCGACTCTTTAAAAAAGGAATCGTAGAATATAAACGATAATGACGAATGATATCAGGAAGAAAATGATCAATCAGTTATAGAAAAAATTAGTTCAAAATCAGTTGACAGTTTGTTACCTTAATGAACAAGATTTTGGATTATTGAACAATTAGAATTGAATCAAAAAGCTTTAGAAAATGAACGAACTAAAATACTTCAATATTTAGAGTTAGTAAAAACATCATATTCCGAAGATAAAATGTTTCAATTGGTTGATTCCATTCAAAAATCATGCAAAGATAAAAGATTAATTTCTCAAATTATTATTGATTTATTGATGAATATTGCAAACAATGAATGGATTTTGAATAATGATACACTCAACAAAATTAAAACAGAAAAAGTCAACGAATGGGAAAAAGAAATCGAAAATTATATGACAACGAAAAGATGCATAAAAAGAGATTTGCAAGAACTAATTAATTTAGAGTAACTGAATCTTATCATAAGTATGCCAATAGCACTCGCATCTCTGCTCGCTATATAAATCATTATGTAGATAATTGCATGTTCTTTGATTGTAAATGGACCCGGATTAAATGTAAAGCCTTTGAAACGCTTCTCTGGCAAACACCATGCTACGAACTTCCCAATCGGGTATGTGATGAGTAATAAGAACAACTCAGGTACAGCACATGATAGGTCGCGATATGAATAATATTCATTTAAAGCTGCTATGAAACTTGCAAACATCATACCAACCAAGCAACTACGAAAGGTGATGACGAGAATCTCAGGATCATCTTTGTTTGATACGACGCCAGCTATTTCTTCATAGGATGTTTCTTCAGCATCAATATAATTATGTTTTACATTGTCTGCTAGATTCTTCATTTCTACACCGTTCGATTATTCATTCACGGTCATGCGAACCTATAATGATCAAGAGAAGTGATAAATATCGTGGTGCGTTTATTGATTTGTCATTCTTTCTTTACTGTCACTTTCCATCCCTTCAAATATTTCTTTTATTATTAATTCCTCATTATTATAATTATTT